TATGGCTTCGGCACCCATTGACTGTTTTCGGCAACCGAAATTGAAACGTTTATTTTACTGTATTTTCCCATCAAAACTCTTCGCTGAATGTATTAAGCCGATTCCTTACCTTTTCAGCTTAAATCTGATTACATTTTTACGACTGTGAATTCCTGTTATACCATATTTTTCTTTAAATAAAATATACATACTACAAAATACGGCTGATTTCGAGTTGCCGATAATAGAACAGCTGGTTAACACGCAGTTCAAATGGAAAGGATGCCGAAGAAAAAGAAACTGCCGACAATAGTCACTCTCACCTGAGAAGTTTGGAGCGTTTTAAAAACATGTTCAACCCGTTTTGATCAATTCTGTCGATTGAAATTGGTAGAACAGCAAGCAGCAGATAAATGTCAACAAACAAACCTGTCATGTATGTGTGTGACGCTGAGAAATCGCTAATAGAAGTTCGGACGCTGCTTAGATTGACGAGAATACGTAAATTCCCCTAGTAGAGATCTCGATAACTTTTTCAAGGGAGTGTATCGGCTTTTGTAGGCGGTGCGTTTGTTCGTCGATTTGGCGTAGCTGGTGGCTCGCCCGCGCGTGCTGGCACTATCATCAGATAGGGGAAATTTTCCTCTACCTGGTGGTGGTGTTGATAGGCGTGTGCGAGCTGCCGATTGCGCCGGGTCGACGATCGGATGCATTGTTTGCAGGAGCTGGTGCTTCCCTTTGAAAAAGTAATCGAGAAATAACCATATTATCCTGTAATTGATATTACTATTTTTATATATCAATGAAATTAGTCATGACAGAGTAACAGAACGAGTTTAAAACAAATGGGGAAGGACAATAGACACAAGTTGACACAATAAACAAGACAAGTGGGGGTTAATACACAAGACAAAATGACAAAATAAGTGACGACAGAAGACAAGACTGGGACAAAAATCAAACTTTAAAAAAAACAAGAATGCGCAATTATATTATCAAAACTATTTGGATCATCACAAAAACAACAGTGACCAAACGGGCACCATAGCCTAGGAACGTCTGTGTGTTGATTTAAAATAGAGGCTCATAGAAGCAAAATTTATCAATAAAAGGGGTCCAGTGTAGAGTTTAAGCAAGTTGCTGCCACTGTGATTACCACAAAAAAAAAATCGAGTATTGATTTTCTTTTCTTTAGATCAAGACGATGGAATTTTGAAGAAGACAACGATATTAACTATCTACACGCTGGATCAACATATAGCCATGCTAGAGGGATAGAACATCATTTTAGTTTTATAAAAACCATCATAACAGATTATCAGGAAAGCCCTTTGGGATATGGGATCTCGGAGAAGAAGAAAATTGGAAAACCATGATCCACTCACGTTCTGGAACAATCATCACAAGAGAGTAGTAGTAGTGGCCACATTTCCCGCGAGTGGCTGGGTCTTCTTCTTCTTCTTATTCGCATTTCAAACTTATTGCTTAGTGGATATTAGCTTATTGCGCGCTCTCAACTTATAGCGAATTCGTTTATTATCAGGGTTAACACCAGTTCCAACCCAGTGCGAAACCGAACTTTTTGTCAGTGTTAACCTCAACCTGAGCTAGGTTTTAAAAGCAAGCGAGCAAACTGACGTTTGTCAGAAAACAAGCAGACCCAATCTTGATACCCGATCCAGGTTGGAACTGAATAATAAACGAATTCGCTATTAGTGTTCTAAATGCACTTCCACAGTTATTAATTGAGAGCTTTCGATGCCAATACCAATGCATGAATTTGTATATTGTGTGGCAAGCAAGCACAATGATACTCAGACATCTCCGGATTCAGTGATGAGGACCCCCGGATTCAGTGATGAGGGGCCTCCCTTAGCTCAGTCGGTAAAGGCGCAGCTACAAAGCAAGACCATGCTGGAGGTGGCTGGGTTCAATTCCCGGTCCGGTCTAGCAATTTTTCGGGTTGGAAAATTTCTCGACTTCCCTGGGCATAGAAGTATGATTGGACTTGCCACACAATTATACACGCAGAAAAATCTATTGTCGAAACAAACATATTTGAGGTAAATTTAAACGTAAACTCTGTTTGTTCTGGCCACAAAAATAAAAAAGGTTCATTTCAAACGTATTCCATGTTAGAAGTCATGTGGTATCGATGTTTAAAATAAATATAATGCTACGTTTATTTTGAAAATATTCGTGTTGAAAATAAACTTAAATATTTTTGTATGATTTGACAACTATGGGAACAAAAATAAATATGTTTATTTTAAACATGCTGTTCATTTTTAAAACAAATATACATACTTTTAAATTATTTTAGAAGGTATTTGAATGCGCTATAAAACAAAATAATTCGAAAAAATATCTGCACATTGGTGCATCTAAATTCCAGCCATTTTTTGGAGTCGATTAAGGGTGGTCTGTAGGTAGTAGCATCCTGGTCCGGGATCAAATATGGTGCATCCACGGTATCGGCTTCTCTCTACGGGGAAGGGGGAGGAACCGGAATAGATTCAGAATCCATTTCGGGTTTTCGTTTTTTTTTTCGATGTGATGGGGGAGGGTCGAATGACGATCGGCGAAACGATGGAGTGACGTTGAATTGTGGGGTTTCGCCTCGGGCTACGCTGGTTTTGTCGAGCTGGAACATTATTTGGATGATTGCCTACATGGGTTTCCTGATCGATGTCTTCGGTCTCGCTGCTTGCGGGTCGTTTTCGGTTGAGTTCCGAGGAATAGCAGGAGCTACATTCTGCCGAATGTAAACAATAAAAAAGGTGAAGGCATGACACGCTAAAAATAGTTTACTCAAATCATATATTGTTGAAATAAATATGCTTTTGATTTTAATCAAAAAATACATATTTTTGTTGTTTATTAATTTATTTGATAATGCTCAACCGAATTAACTTTACAGAGCCGAGGATTCTTGGTCACTATACAATACATCTTAAAACTATAGTCAAAAGGTACAACACAATAAACACTTTATCTTCCGCTATCCAAAAAGCCTCCTCCATCAGAACTGCAGCCGCTTCCAGTGGTTTCATTGTATGGCAAATTGTTGTACGCCAACGAGGGTCAGAGCGCGTCCATTGCAGCAATAATGGACGCAAAACGTGGTCAGCACTCACACACTCATCACGAAACGGTTGCTTTCCAAAGTCGACGACGCATCGACTGAAAGAACTGCTGATGAAGAACAATGAGGAGGACCACACAATGGTTGCTGCCGAGAAAACAGACGATCGCGTGGCACACATCGAGAGTGGTCTGCTTTTGTCTACAGCCGAGTGAACACTGAAAATACATATTTTTAATGCAAACATTTTTTCAATTTACTTTGAATGATTAATATGTTTATAGAATGAACATTTATATTTTTGATTTAAATGAACAAAATTCGTTTCCGTGTACCAATGCAAAAATGGTACAGGCATCGAAAGCTCTCAATTAATAACTGTGGAAGTGCATCTAGAACACTATGTTGAGAGTACGCAATAAGCTAATATGCGATATGCAATAAGCTTGAAATGCGAAGAAGAAGAAGATGTTTCCGCCGTTTGCTTGTAATGTAGAAATATACGACCTCGTATACGACCGCCCGTGTGCTGGCTGTTGTGTTTTGCTCTGGACGATGGTTTTGCAAAAAATGTACTGTTGCCACCTCTGATCAAGACTATATCATATCATTAAGCTAGTCATTGAATAAATCACTACTAATTACGTATAGATATTTAACGGGTTATCAATTTCAAAACCTATTGTGTGTGGCAGGATAATTTCTCAAAATGGGATTATACATAGAAAAAAAAGTTGTTGAATCTTACATCCAAACAGCTGCACAGAGGTTATTCCGCTGGTGGTGTAATATAACGTTGTACGATGTACACAGCAAAATGTAATATCGATCAACGTAATTCAAGCTGATGTATGAAAAAATGATGTAATAGCAAAAAGCAGATACAATATTACATCAGTGGATGTAATTTTGTTCGCAAAATCGATGTACATCGTACAACGTTATATTACACCACCAGCGGAATAACCTCTGTGCAGCTGTTTGGATGTAATATTCAACAACTTTTTTTTTCTGTGTACATCGATTTGGCGAACAAAATTCCATCCATTGATGTAATATTGTATCTGCTTTTTGCTATTACATCATTATTTCATACATCAGCTTGAATTACGTTGATCGACATTACATTTTTTTTGCTGTGTAGTACTAGAATTCCGACTAGAATGGGGTACGTTAATCGTTTGCTTGGGACCAATAGGCTAGTCAAGTAGTGAGCCAATTTAAAATCGTTAGTTTCGTATTGATTGTTGGTACGACTGCGCCCATTGATTTAACACACGGCGGCTCTTTTCCAGGATTCGCTCCTCAAGCCGCTGCCATAAAATACTATCTAAGTTTCACACATGTGTATAGTTCTTATAGGCGGGGTTGCATCGCACTTATGAGCGGCGCGCTTCGACCGTCACCAAATGAGAATTTAATATAAGCGCGACAATATTCAAGGATAAATTGAAAAATTTGAATCAAGTAACTTCCGAGCAAACTTGCATGCAACGTGCTTCAATTCCGAATTCCACTCAAAATTTCAAAAAGCGGGTTAGTAAAATTTTCCTCGATTTACCTAATTCCAGGAAAATCGATCAATATTTTACGATTTTACTGTCTCGTAAACTGAGGAAAATATTTATCGATTTTCTGAAATTCAAGCTGATTTTTTAGGAATCGAGGAAAATTTTACTCATCCACTAGGCCCTTAGCAATTTTGAGTCGAATTCGACTCAATTCTGAGCTACTCTTTTCGGCCATGTGCTGGGATGAAAAGCGCCATGCAAAACACTTTTCCTTCAACATATTACGAGAAAAGCTTTGCGGAAAAACTCACTGTTTTTCCGTGTGCGAGATGTGAGAAAACCTTCTCACAGAAGATGAAAATTGTCTGAAATTTTCCGTATTCTCCGAATAGAGATGATTTGACATTTGTACCTGTAATCGATATTGTCAACTGATTTGTATAAATAGTAGGTATTTGCACAGGAAAAATGGGGGTAAGTTTGATTTTCCGGGTATACCCTTATTTGAAAAATACTTGAATGGAAATCGGCTTTCAGAAAGCGCCAGAACTGGACGACAAGTACGACATGGCCAAGTGCCAAATGTACAACGAGAAGAACTCGTTTGCCTTTTGGATTGTGATTATTTTGCTTTTCTCGCTGGCTCTGGGCAATCTGTGTCTCACCCTTACCATTACCGGGATCCTGAAGATCTACAAGGGCATGGAGAACATTGAGCTGATCCAGGGCGAGGAAACGGTCAAATTTTTCGGGAACATTGATTTCGACAGAATCTACAAGCGGGATGGGAAGCTGGAAGGTTTTCATGACGAACCTATGGAAATCAGTGGTAAGGCAGTTGGGGACTGTGTAATTTTCCATCCTTAATGTTGACCTAAATTTGTTCGCAGGTGAAAATGCTCCCGTATCGATCAATCTAGTGAACCGAAATGGGCATTCGCACAACAAGATTCACCTCTCCAAGAACGGCAGCGTTCTGAAGGGTTTGAATCACTTCGAGGTGAAGGATGCCGTGACGGGGCGTCAGATTTTCTCAACATCCCGACCGTCTTACAACATGCCGGAAGGGGCCATGATGTTGCATACAAACCTGGTGAACGCCGGCAGGATTGCGTCCCCTATAAATGATACGCTCAAATTTCAAACACGTAACAAGTTCACCCTCAAGGGAACCGAAGGGACGCGGCTGGAAGCGAAGGAGATATTCTGGACTGCAGATCAAAACATTTTCCTTAAGTCAGATAACGGTAGCATGGTGATTACCGGTGCAAATGGGGTGTACATTAATGTGAACAGTATTCCGATCGTTCAGAATGAACACGGATCGCGCACCGGAAGCGGCCAGTATAAGCTGTGTGTTTGTTATCCGCAAGGTAGGATTTTCCGGATTCCGGTTCCAAAGTCGCACAACATGAGAGTAAATTGCGCCCGCTTTAGCGGATGGAGCGATCCCTGTGCTTAAAATCGAGTCGATAGGTGCAACAGCTAGTATTTTTCATTAGTTGTAGATTATTTCGCATTGCGCAATTCGTTTTCAACATATCATACTCCTTCAAGTAAGCAATATCCATATGTAACTAACCGACCATTCGTGGAACAAACCGAATAATAAATCAAAACATTTAATCCTCCAGGATTTATTGAAATAAGAGCATAAGTGTTAACCTCCTACCGATTTCGAAAGAAAAATCAGTTCGATTATGTTCTTACAAAAGCAAAAAAAAAAAGCTTATGGAATATTGGCCAGATAGTCCTTGACATCGGACGGATCCAGTCGACGGAAGCCACCCGCATCGCAGATTCCTACTTCTATATTATCTGCATTCATCTGTCCCTCAAAGCCTTCCTTCAACGTGAGAATCGCCGTGTGGACTGCATCGTCCAGCTCCAGGTCTTCGCTGTAACGCTTCTCCAGGAACGTCTTCCCGTTGATGGCATTCTTACCCATAGCGGTAGCCTTCCACGCAAAGTACGCTCCGGATGGATCACACTGGAACAGATAGGGACGCCCTTCATCCCAACCGCAGATCAAAAGCGACACCCCGAACGGACGGACACCACTGAAATCAAATTTCCCCGTTACTTTCACAACTCTTCCCAAAACCAAAAATATAACCTTCAAAACTCACCCGGATTGCGTATATTCCTGCATCACATTGGCAATCTTCTGCACCAGTTGCGAGGTCGGAATAGGTTCCCTGTACGTCAGAAAATAGTTCTGCGCAATCTTTCGGGCCTGCTTGACCAACAGCCGGTAATCCGGTCCCATTCCAGAGTAGATCATACCAATATGATTGGTTACCATCTCCACCTTATGAACGCTATGCTCATCGTACAGGATCGACTTCTGCTTGTTCTCCGTTGCAATTACAACCCCATTGGATGCCTTGATGCCCACGGATGGTGCCCCGGCTGACACGGCGGCCAAAGCATACTCGATTTGTACCAACTTGCCGGAAGGGCTGAAACGAAAACGAAATGCCAGATAATTTACTTGCCAATTACAATGATCTTTTTTCGTCAAAACTTACCTGAAAGTGGTCAGCGAAAAGCTGTAACGTTCCGATGCCATTTTGGGGCACTTTTCACGCTACGAACGATAGTTTTTTCCACAGAAAATCCAATGATAAAGAAACAATGTTTCCTCTGCGGTCCAAAATGCTTGATGCGAATCGGCCGCTCGGTAGGAAAACAGCTTATTCACGAATAATGACAGATGACAAGCGAAAAGGCATGGTGAGAAATTTTACGCAGAGTGAGAGAAGTGAGAAAGCATAAAAATTCGATGAGTTTGAAGATGCTCACTGCACAGCAATGACGTTTATATAAGGGCCGGCGGTTACCTAACATGCAGCTTGCTGGTGTTAGAAGCAAAAACATTGCTGAGCACTCATGTGACGACGTCACTCTACCACAACATTCTATTGACGAGTGCACGGGTGAAATTTTGTTCATCTACTGAACAAAAATTGAGTGACACAACAGCAGAGCCCTGTTTACTAAAAATGAACACGTGAATAATGCTTGCGTAATATTTGAAAAGGACCTATCAACTTTTGTAAACAACTTGCTAGGTCCTTTTCACCAGAACTGAAGTACACCCAAAAAATCTGGATCAACAATAGAAAAGGGCCCATCAACATTTGTAAACAAACCGTTCCAAAGCCCTTTACTCACAAAGCGAAGGCCACCCACGTAAACCAACACCATCATCGTGTAGGTAGAAGTTTCCCGAGGGGCACGTAATACAAAGAACCGGTGCGTTGAAGTTAAAATGCAATCAAAAGTACTTAAAGTAATTAATGCGTTTTGAAGTAGTACTGACGGTAATTAAAATTATCTATCTGTAATTAATGTAATTCAGAGTATTTAAAATGTAATTAATTTACTTTAATTACAAAATTTCAACTGTAATCAATAGAGTTACAAAGTAGTTAATTTTCCTAATTGTGTAATTAATGTAATTAAAGCAGTAGTTAATGGAATTAATTTAATTACAGCCGTTGCCTGCGTTGGAGTTAAAGGTTATTGCGTGCCCCTAGAAGTTTCCCCTATCCGATGATTGTGTTGGTTTGCGTGGGTGGCCTTAGCTTTGTGAGTAAAGGTCTTTGGAACGGTTTGTTTACAAATGTTGATGGGCCCTTTTCTATTGTTGATCCAGAAATATTGAAATCTAAATAGTATAAAAGTTACGCTAAATCGCAACTCTCCGTACCGACGCAAAGGTCGGTATAAAGGGAGAGAATGCAAACTTAGTATAAAAATGGTTTATGCGTGCCATAGTATAAAATCGAAATATACTTACAATGCTTAGATACGGTTTATTCGAGAGAATGTATTTTTCGCTTCTTTATTTTATTTATGGTGAATATGATTGTTTTCAAATAAAAAATAAAAATTGTCTCAGGAAGCTTTTAATTAGTTTATTTTTTATGAATATTATTAAAAAAATACTTATTGTGTGTTGCAGGATAATTTCTCAAAATGGGATTATACCATCTACTTTCTGTTTATGGCCGTACGACCATAGAGGTAACTCTAAGACAAGAAGGTCCCGAAATAACGTGCTCAACTTTTTGGCTCAGCTCTGGTACTCTCTTCGGTCCCAAGCTAATCGATTCACCCCTCGAAACATAGGAAAAACTATTAACCCCTCATTTTATCTGTCAAACTTTCATGGCGAATCAAAACAAACATTGTGTAGTACTAGAATTTCGACTACAATAGGGTACGTTAATCGTTTGCTTGGGACCAATAGGCTACTAAAGTGGTGAGCCAATTTAAAATCTTTAGTTTCGTATTGATTGTTGGTACGACTGCGCCCATTGATTTAACACACGGCGGCTATTTATCCAGCATTCGCTCCTCAAGCCGCTGCCATAAAATACTATCTAAGTTACACACCCTTATATATAGTATAATCACAAACGAAGTGACAGACGGAGCGGCTCGAAAACTTTGGTGACTAACCTGCTATTGCAATTTTTCAGTGTACCACACGGCAACACCACTACTACTGGACTGTACCACATGGCAACACTACTATTAGATTGAACTACCATTTTCACCAAATGTACTAGAATATTTTGGTTCTATCTCTTTCACTCTACTCAAAACTGAAATGCATAAAAAAATGACAAAATGATACGCACTCTTTGCACACTGTCAAAGAATCATTGTACACAAAATCAACTTTGTTCAAATCAAAACAAAAAAACTAACCCATCTGGTGGATGATGGCACAAGCTTCCAAGAAAATTCTATTACAGTGAACCACATTATTTTAATGGATTTCTTCGCCAGTTAGTCGTCTGTAACTTCGTTTGTGGTATAATCCTTATGGGCAGAGTTGCATCAACCCGGGGGCAACTTGACAAGTCCAGTACATTTCCAGTGTACTCCGAAAATTTGGTGCTGGTGGTTCTGTCAAACTCACAAATTTCAGAAGTGTTATCTGAATAGGGCGAATGCAGATATGTAAATAAAGTAAATAAAATACTGAACATAAAAACAGATAGCCTCATCTGTTTCTTGAAACTTCAAGTTGGTGGGGAACAATGTTAATTAAACGGACGGGTGTAACAAAAGACAATCACTGAAATTTATTCGTTTTAGAAGCTCATTATGAATATCTTTTGTTGAGAGACGCTTATTTTAATTTATTTTATTTATTTCTTCATGTTTGAATGAATATACGAAATGTTAGTGTTCACACAGCAAACCTGCTACTCACCGCGAATAAGAATCAATTTTGTATTTTTTTTCACCCCTCAATAGAAAGATGGGGAAGTAAACTGTTTTTAATAATACGGCTTTTTATTGCAAGTCTTCACCGCACAAGTATGCTCAGAAACATTATTCTCAAGACTGATAATATTCAAGAGCAAAATATAATAGAATTAACCAATGTGTTTTTATTTCTATTTGATTATATAAGAAAAACTTCCATCAATCTGTTCCAATTTGTTTGGATTTATTTCATTTCACCACGAAAATCATAAATCGCTCTTTTCACATGGCATTCTTGCTTGTTGCTTGACATCCACACATGGTGAAACAAAAAGTTGCCTTCCCATAGAGAAATACCACTGCGGCGGTGAAGGGCAGTCCCTTTGTTTACGTTGTGTGGCGACATCTACTATTTGCAAGTGGGTACGTGAAACTAAGATTATCTGTCACCTTGCCGGGGAGTTGAGTTGCATCAACAATCAATACGAAACTAACGATTTTAAATTGGCTCACCACTTTAGTAGCCTATTGGTCCCAAGCAAACGATTAACGTACCCTATTCTAGTTGAAATTCTATTACTACACTATGCTTGTTTTGATTCGCTATGAAAGTTTGACAGATAACATCAGGGGTGTGTGGATTCATGCAGAACATGCAGGGGTGAGTGAAATAGCTTGGGACTGCTTGGGACCGTTGTTCTGGTACTGAGTGAGCCAAAAATAATAATGATTTTCTTCGGGACCCAGTGGTCTTAGAGTTACCTCTATGGTTGCATCGCGCTTATGAGCGGCGCGTTTCGACCGTCACCAAATGAGAATTTAACATAAGCGCGACAATACAATTTCGATGCTGCCCAGCAGATCATAGGCGCAGTAGAAATCCGCCGGGACGAAGCTCTTCACCAGCACGAAGCTCCGAAGGGAATCCAGATGTTCTTTTTCCTGTCATTTTAGTAAACACTGATCGAATTCCACTCCGTTATTCGGACTTAGTATAATTTTGACGAAAATTTTAATCGAACCAATGTATAAATTTTGAAAAGATGAATGTGAAACGTCATTTGAAATATTAGGGTCGTTTATAAATAATGAGACAATTTGAAAAGGAACGGGGCTAATCACAAATTACGTCCCCATGGTAACTGATATAAACATGAGTGCCGACCTGAGTACTGCGAACTCAGCCGATTTTATTTTTCAGGTGAGCTAGAAAACATCTTGGAAATCTTCCGAAGTTTCAAATTGTTTTGCTGAAACAACTCACGAAATTGTATATACATCTAGATATACATGCTGTCAAATGAACTCTTGGCTCCTCCTCCTCTGCTCCAGAAATAATGTATACATGGTGATGGGAGTGCACCTGCCCACAAAGCTCACATGACTCTTATAAAGTTTGATTACATTCTTGTTTCAGCAACCCAGTTTTGGCATTACACTGAAAAAAGTTTTCACTTAGTTTCTATTAGGAATGCACATAGTATTTTTCCAAAAACAAAAACTATGATTTTTACCTGAATATCACATAGCTTTAGAACTTCTATATGAGAAATCATATAGATTTCATTGGACACATAACGTTCATGTGATTTAGTAGTGCAATTTCCAATTATGGGATCACATGAAAGTTTTGTGAAATTCACATGTATATTTTCCACTGGTTATGTGATTTATTTTATGAGTGTATTAATATCAAATAAAAACACTTTTTCGAGCATCACGCTCCATGACTTACATTACTTGCCTACTAAGGTTGATGTTTCGACAGTTTCATAATTATAATTCTTAATTTGTTTTCAGTAGGTGGCAACACATTGACTTGTGGTTCAAATAGTAACTACCTACGTGACTTCTGACCCGCATAAACGCGAACCATAAATTGACCTTACCTAAAATGGTTAAAAATTGTTTATAATCCCTGCTAAACTTTAACTGAAATGGTTATGGAACTTTACATGAACGTTTAATGATAAAGTTTCAACCTTATGTATTAAGGTTTTTTGGAACTGGACCTTACAAATAATGGGTTGTTAAGAACCATTACCATTCCAAATTCTTGTTTTCTCCATACATTTTCAGAAAGAGAACTATATAAGAACGTTTTTACTTATGATTTGAGAACATTAATGGTAATGGTTATGGTAGTCAGTAAGGTCCATTAATGGTTTTGTATTATCGCTCAACTTTACGTGGAATATATCGTGAATTGGTAATCAGTAAATTACAGGCAACCAATTCGCGATATATTCCACATAAAGTTGATCGATGTTACAAAACCATTCGTGGACCTTACTGACTACCATAACCATTACCATTAAAGTTCTCAAATCATAAGTTAAAAGGTTCTAATATAGTTCTCTTTCCGAAAATGTATGGAGAAAACAAGAATTTGGAACGGTAATGGTTCTTAACAGCCCATTATTTGTAAGGTCCAGTTCCAAAAAACCATAATACATAAGGTTGA